TTAGTCAGGAAGTTTTTGCTCACTGATTCAATCTCTACTTGTTATGGGTCTGTTGAGACTTTCTATTTCCTCTTGAGTCAATTTGGGGAGGTTGTGTGCTTCTAAGAATCTTTCCATTTCATCTAGGTTATCCAGTTTGTTGCTGTATAGTTGTTCATAATATTCTGTCATAATTTTCTTTATTTCTATTGGGTCAGTTGTAATGTCCCCTCTTTCATTTCTTATTTTTGTTATTTGTATCTCTTCTCCTTTTTTCTCTGTCAGTCTAGCTAAAGGTTTGTCAATTTTATTGATCTTTTCCAAGAACCAATTTCTGGTTTTACTGATTCCATTGTTTTGATGTTTTTGATTTTATTTGTTTTGGCTCTGATTTTTGTTACTTCCTTTCTTCTGGTAGATTTAGGCTTAGCTTGCTCTTCTCTTTCTAGTTCCTGGAGTTGTTCAGTTAGGCTGTTGATTTGAGATCTTTCTTCTTTCTTCATGTAGGCATTTACTGCTATATGCTTCCATCTGAGTACCGCTTTTGCTCTATCCTGTAAATTTTGGTATGTTTTGCTTAAATTTTCATTTAAATCTAAGAAATATGTGATTTTTCTTTTGATTTCTTACTTGATCAATTGGTAGTTTAATAGTCTGTTGTTTAATTTCCATGTGTTTGTGTATTCTCCAGTTTTTTTGTTTGTTTTTCCTATTATTGATATCTAGCTTTACTCTGTTGTGGTCAGAGAAAATACTTTATATGATTTCAATCTTTTTCAACTTATAAAGACTTGCTTTGTGACCTAACACATGGTCTGTCCTGAAGGCTGATCCAAGTGTACTGGAGTAGAATGTATATTGTGCTGTTGTTGGGTGAAGTGTTCAATATATGTCTGTAAATCTAGTTGGTTTATAGTGTCATTCAGGTCTTCTGTTTCCTTGCTGATCTTTCTAGATGTTTTGTTTCAGTATGGAAAGTAGTGTATTGATGTCTCCAACTATAGTAGTGCTGTGTATTTCTCCTTCGATTTTATCAGTATTTCCTTTATATATTTAGGTGCTCCAATATTGGGTGCATATATATTTATGATTGTTAAACGTTCTTCATTAATTGACCCTTTTATTACTATATAATGTCCATTCTTATCTCTTCTAACAGATTTTGTCTTAAAGTCTACTTTGTCTGATATTAATACTGCCACCCCAGCCTTCTTTTGGCTAATATTTGCATGGAATTTTTTTTCATCCTTTCACTTTCAACCTATTTATGTCCTTGATCTAAGGTGTGTTCCTTGTAAACAGCAAATAGTTGGATCATTTTTTTTTTTAATCCATACTGCCACTCTTGGCCTTTTGATTGGAGCATTCAGTCCATTTACATTCACTCTATTTACCAATAATTTTGCTATTTTTTTATGTTTAAGATGCCTTCTTTGTCTTTGTCATTTACTACTACTTGTTTTTGTGTTTTGTTGGTTTACTGTAGTGAGCCTTTTTGGTTCTCTTCTGTTCTCCTTTTGTGCATATTTTTTAAATATTTTCTTAGTGGTTACCATGAATATTACATTTAACAGCTTATATTTATGATATTCCAGGGTAAGCTGGTACCAATGCAATTTCAGTAACATGCAAGAAGTTCTGCATCTATACCATTCCTCTCCCCTCTTTTGTAGTTGTAATCCCTAATTTTGTTTTCATATTTCTTGTGCTTTGTAACATAATTTTATCCTTGCTTTTTACGTATTTGTTATTAAAAAAACTGAAGGACAAAACATTTAGAATTACCAAGCATGACTACCTTATTACTAGCCCTTATACTTGTCCATGCATTTCCCTGTATTAGGGATCTTTCTTTCTATGCACAGCTTTGAATGACTTTCTAGTGTCATTTCCCTTCCATCTACAGAACTCCCACTAGTATTTTTTATACGGCTGGTCTGGTGGATATGAACTCTCTCAGCTTCAGTTTATCTGAGAATGTTTTAATTTCACTCTCATTCTTGAAGGATAGTTTCACTGGGTATAGTATTCTTGGTTGACAGTTTTTTTCTTTCAGCATTTTAAATGTATCACTCCATTGCCTTCGGCTTCCAATGTTTCTTAGTAGAAATCGGCACTTAATCTTACTGGGAATATTTTGTATGTGAGCATTTGCTTCTCTCTCACTGCTTTCAGGAATCTCTCTTTATCTTTACTTCTTGAGAACCTAATTATGATGTGTCTTGGTGTAGACCTCTTTGGGTTTATCCTGGTTGGGGTTCTCTGGGCTTCTCGGATTTGTAGATTCATGTCCTTCATTAGATTGGGTATATTTTCTGTCATTATTTATTTAAATATTCTTTCTGTCCCTTTTTCTCTCTCATCTCTTACTGGACTTCCCATAATGCATATATTAGGTCTCTTGTTGTTATCCAATAATTCCATTTAACTGTGCTCAGCATTCTTGAGCCTCTGCTCTTACTGATCTTCAGCATTTGTAATTTTAACTATCTTATACTCTAATTTGCTGATTCTTTCTTCTGCCTGATTAAATCTGTTTGTAATTCCTTCCATTGTGCTTATCATTGCAGTTATTGTCCCTTTCAGTTGCAGTATCATTGTTTTTTAGATCCTCATTTTCTTCTTGCATTGCTTCCTTATTTATTTTAACTCTTTGTCCATGTTTTCCCTTAGGTCTTTAATTATGTTTAACATTGTTGTATTATATTCCTCCATTCTTTTAATTATTTGGTCATCCCTAGATGTGCTTTCATTCCCTTTGTCATGTTCATTTGGATGCATCATTGTTTCTCTGTTCTTTACGTGTCTTGTGATTTTTTGTTGGGGCATTGGAATTTTTGAGAGTGTTAACTTTCTCAGTCCCCTTCCCCTCACTTGGTGGTTTTCCCACATTATTTTCTGCACAAAAATCTTGAGTGGGCAGTCTTCAGCCTTTGCTTACCATTTCCTCTCCCTCTCTGTGATAGATCCTTTTCCCTCCCTGGTTTAATTAGGATTCAAAAGTTCTAGATCTCAGTTTTCAACTTTCAGTCTCTCCCAAACACATCAGAAAACATGCTATGATCAATTCGTCCTCCAGCTGGCACTACCACTGAGGTGAAATATCGCATACTAATCAATCTTTTCACCAGATGACCTTAGTTCTCTCTTTCTCTCTAGTTATTACTCCCTTCTCATTTTGTTTTTCTGTGACCACATTTTCAGTTAGAGAACCCATACCCAGTGAGCGCCTTTTGGGGCTGGGTGTTGTCCTCCAGTTTTGCCCGAGGCTTCTTTCTCTGCTCTGTGGGTTCTGCATCTATCTCAGCTGGCTTTCAGGGGAAGCACAAGCAGACCTTCCTCTGTTTCAGGAGGAGGAGGTGCTGGTACTCCCTGGAAGAACCTCCAAGAGACCTGTGTTTTTGGTTTCAGGGCCCCAGTGGCCCTGTGGTGGTTGGGGGTGGAGGGGCAGTCTCCTCTTAGGTGACCCTCCTCCTGGCTCCACTGTAGGGGACCTTCTGTAGGAGTTTATATCAGTCCAGCAGCCAACATTTACTGTGTGGGGGAGGGATTGTCACACTCTGAATGGACCCCGAGGGAGGTCTGCATTGTTGCTATCAGAGCCCACCCTCTAGCATGCTGGCTATGGGGGTAGCCTCCATTTAAGATGCCCATTTCCTAGCACATTGCAGCCTCAAACATCAGTTCTCAGCGCCAACCAGAAGTGGGGGCAACCTAACCCAAATTAACCCCTAGGGAGGTTTGTCCTGTTGGTTTCAGAGGCCTGAGCTATGGGGTGCCCAGAGAGGCAGGTAGAGTGCTGACTATGAGAGCAGGCTCCACTCCAGGGGTCTTCTGTAGCAATTCACTGCAGCCTTGCAGGTAACAGTGTCTGGTTGGGGGAGGGGCTGTCATGCTCTGAACAGACCCCTATCTTGTTGCTGTGAGAGTTCCCCCTGTGCTATGTTGGCTGTGGGAGTAGCCTCTACTCAAGATGCCTGCTTCCTAGTACACAGCAGTCCCAGTAGTCCTTAGCACCAACTGGAAGGGGGAGTAGGCAGATCCAAACTGACTCCTCAAGAGGTCCTGACTGTTGGTTTCAGAGGCCTGAGCTATGGGGTTCCAACGGAGGCAGGCAGAGTGTTGACTATGAGAGTAGATCCACTGCAGGGGGGCTTCTGTAGCAATTCACAGAAGGCTTGCAGCTGATAGTGTCTGGGTTGGGGAGGTGCTGGCACACACCAAATGGACCCCCAGGAAGGTCTGCTTGTTGATTTTAGAGCAGAATCTTGGTGTCCTGTCTCTTTATACAGGCAGGGGGTATGGTAGTTAGGGAAACCTGCTCTTTTTCGAGGCCTATTCCCCAGTTCACAGCAGCCAGCAGCCCCCGTGGCTGGGAGGAGGAGCAAGGATGGTGGGAGAAGTGGTTTTCCTATTGTATGTGACTCATTGTTAACTCCTTGATTCTTGCCTATCTGCAGTTCCCTGCTGCTCTCCTCTGATCGCTGATTCAGAGTCCCTCAAAGCCGTGTGGTATTTCTTCCTTGTATTCCTTGTTGTATTTGTGGAGGAAGGTTGGAACAATGGTCTGTTTACACTGCCATCTTCCCAGAATTCTCACTCATTTTAAATTCAGCTCCAATGTCGACTTCTCTATGAAGTCTCCCCTGGCCCCTGCAGGCTGAGATTGTAACTTCTGCATTAATTCCCATGGGCCTCTATGACAGTGCTTATGACAGGTATGGTCATTACTTACAACAATCACCCTCATTAGATCACTGAGTGCTTCCATGTCTGGTACCAGGTCTTGTTCATATGAGTTGCATGTATTTTGGAACCTTCAGAGAATTGCTCCATAAATAAATATATGTTAACTGGTTGACTGATTTGGTCACCCAGATTTCCACAGGACTGGTGACAGAACTTCTTCAGTTTAACATTATTTCACATTATAGCTTGAGTTTCTAGACGAGTCCATGTGCACTCATTTGGCATCTGACCTAAATGCACAAGCCTAATAAGAAGTTTCCAAAATCACTTACCAATGAATTATGATCAGCTTCTTCATAGGGATTTTTCCCTCTCCAAGGTAAACGAGGACACCAATTTTCAACCTGAAAAACATAAATCAGAGACACTAAGTACCCTTACGCTATTTCTTTAAATGAATTAATGTATGCACAAAGAACTGAGAACAGTACCTGGAACACATAAGCATTATATTAATGTTGGCTTCTATAGGGTCGCTGTGAGTCGGAATCAACTCGACGGCAATGGGTTTGGTTTTTTGGGTTTATTATTATTAGTAAAACCCCTACATTTAGCTAGCAATGTAGGAGTACAGGTGCCAGATACAGGTGTCCTCTCAGATGAAATAATCAGAAAAGGTCAAATGGAGCAAATAATAACACTTTACATTTGTCCTTCAAGGTACTTTCCAGCCACTGATTCCTTACATCATTTAACCCTCATACTACCACACCAGAAGAAGAGGGGTTCATATGGCAGAAATTTAAAAGACTTGAACATTGTTGCAGGAGAATAAGGAGGTCAATGTGCCTCTGCAACTATTTAGCAAAAGAGAGCAATGATTATTAACTGCTATGGCATGTCTGAAAATGAAACAGGATGGCATTTGAATCACATAACTCAACCATTTATCTCACAATTAAGAACGCAACAGGAAGTTTAAGACTAATGGTCAAGGCCTTCCTCATTGTCTGGTGCTTCACTTCACCCTATCTCAAGAAATAAAGTGGTAAAACCTAAGGGGTGGGGGAAAAAAAAAAAACCTCACTGATCTTGTAAGAGCTGTTCTGGAAGATGGATTGCTCTGTCAATGTACAGGGTTTAAAGAGCAGGGAGAAGAAAACTGGAGGGAAAAATGCCAGATTTTATAAGAATTACTTCAACAAAGGTTATCAAAGAAGATAAGGCAAATTAATTTCTAGTAAAGGAAAAACAGAAAATTATACAAGAAATGCACTGAGTAATACTGATGCCTGGCCTCTTTATCAAAACTGGCTATATAATTTCAAGACAGGCTATCACCTATTTACTAATATATAATGGGATTATGGGAGCCTGGTGGCATAGTGATTAAGAGCTCAGCTGTTAAGCAAAAGTTTGGCAGTTTGAATTCACCAGCTACTCCTTGGAAACCCTACAAGGCAGTTCTACTCTGTCCTATAGGGTAGCTATAAGTCAGAATCAACTCAATGGCAACAGGATTTTTTTTTTTTTTTTGAGGGGGTTTGGCTAATAAACAGCCAAGCAGCCCTGGTGGTGCAATGATTGAACACCTGGTTGCTAATCGAAAGGTTGGTAGTTCCAACCCACCCAGCAGCTCCACAGGAGAAAGACCTAGCAATATGCTTCCATAAAAGATTACAGCCAAAAAAACCCAATGGGGCTGTTCTACTCTGTCACATGGGGTCGCTATGTGTCAACATCATTTCAATGGCACCTAACAATAAACAGCCACTGAAAATAATTTTTCTTTGTGTTGGCCGGGTGGACCTATAAAACTTAACAGAGGTAGGAGGTGGGGAACATCCATGGAGGGGTCATTGAGTCAGGAGTGGTGTGTGTGAGACCATAGCTCATGGGTTAGCAAAGCAGAGTCAGACAAGATGGTCTGTCCCCTAGCTCCGGGTCAGCTTTCAAAGAAACATGTCACTTTCACTAATCTAGAAACTACTCTTAAAGCAAGGTGACTTTTACTACGACCAAAAATAACTGGCCTGATCTGCATAAAGGCAACTGCCACTGTAAATAGTCTAAAAGCAAGAAGCAGAGGGTAGCAAGGCTAGGGGAGGGTGGAATCCCTTGAGAGAAAAAGTGCAGTGTTCTCTTTAATTTTGGTGGAATAAAATTAAACAACTGCTGTCGAGTCGATTCTGTGTGTGTCAGAGTACAACTGTGCTCCATAGGGTTTTCAGTGGTTCATATTTTGGAAGTAGATTGTCAGGTCTTTTTTTCTGAGGTGCCTGTAGGTGGATTTGAACTTCCAACCTTTCAGTTAGCAGCCGAGTGCTTAATCAGTTGCACCACCCAAGGACTCCAAAGTAAAATTTGACTTTACCATATTTATGAAAGACTTCAGAGATGCCCCATAAGGAAAGATGAAATGGTTCTTACTTTAAAAAAAAAAAAAAAAAAAAAGATAGTAACTTGCCTTGGACCTTCATGGTCTAATTACTGACCTTAGAGAAATATCACCAGGGAAGGCATTATGTGGAACTCCATGTAAGAGAAAATTGGTGGAAACCAGTAGAAAAGAAGCCTGCATGTAGATGAAGTCCTGGTTGGTCCCAGCAGCACCACACACATCTGTGCCTCATGTTCTTAGGCCACAATGAATTATTTAGTTCAAATTAAATTTTTGTAAATGGACTCAATAAAACATTGCTGTAAAACATACTTATAATATGAACGCGTCAAATGGATTGCAGACATGACTGTGAGATCTCCAACAGCCTACACACAAAACAAAACCCAAAAAACAAAAAACAAAGAGCACAGGCTTGAAATAAATCTCACACTAAATAAGTAACTACATTTACCTAGCAACATGACAAGATAAAAAAATTTCCCCTTGAGTAGCATGATGGGGAAAGATGAAACAAGACTGTGAATAAAGAAAATCAACCTGAAGGAGAGGCATTAGTGAGACAAGATACTGAGAAAGGACAATACATTCCAGTCCACTCCCCCATCCCAAGACTAATCTTCCAAGGTTCACTCTGCTGAAAATTCAGTCCAAGGTGAACTTTTAAAACATGACTTCCTTATAGAATACTTGAAGCTTTAATTCCTGTTTGAAACTGATCATTTATCTCAGTTCTTACTCTGAATCACTGGATAATATTTTTCAAGGATTCAAGGGCTTGCCTGAAAGTATAGACAATGTTTTATCGTTAGGTGCCATCACATCAGTTCTGACTCTTAGTGACCCTGTGTACTACAGAACGAAATACTGCAGGTCCTACCCAGATGTAAATCCATCCACCTACGGTCACCGGATCTTCGACAATGGCCCAAAGTCCATCAAATGGGGAAAAGACAGTCTTTTTAACAAATGGTGCTGGCAAAACAGGATATCCATTTGCAAAAAAATGAAACAGGACCCATACCTCACACCGTA